TTACCAATTCCACATATAAAGCTATAATTTAATTACACTGTTAGACAAACTGGATTTTCTTTACAAGGACTTACAAATTTAACAATTTAGCATGGCATAGCAGAGCATAAACCAGGTTGCACAATGTCGTAGGTGGTACGAGCTCCAAACTGTTGTTAAGAAGGAGACCCACCTTCATCCGTTGCTGTTAGATAGTAATTAGTGATTAATTACTACCTCTTAGATAAAGGATGTGTCTCCCTCCAATAGACCAGAGCTGTCCTGGCCACGTCCTTGCACCTGTTGGGGAAAGGGGAGGAATGTTAGTCCGACACTTACTTAAGAGAGATGCAGAGAACTCTGCGACCCCTCATAAGTGTCACGAGAAGGGTGGATTTTTGTTAGTAGAGAGGGTAAGCCATAGGATACGCCCAGCCGGCGTAGCTGGCAATCATTATATCAAGCATTTAATAAATAGAAGCTTTAAGTAGTTTATCTGTCCGTTGTTGCTGCCCATTACCTAAACATATTATTAAAAACAGTCTTCAAATTTTGGAATTGAGAAACGTTATCAGCTCGATCCTATTGCTCCTTTGCGCCTGAAAATGTTTGTTGATCCTAAACATATGCACAATTCATTCTGATGTGTAAAAGGTTATCTTTATTTTAGAGATTTTTAGCCTGAGGCTAGTTCATCTCTTAAATGTACTGAAACTTTCGATCAAGCAGTAGTGCAATACTTGATTGACGCGTATTTTGTAAGTTTTGAAATGATCGTCTTGAATCCATTTAGGATATTTCCTATCGAGGACAGAGGAACGAAAAGGTAAATAAACTTAGCTGAGCGTAGCTACGCGTAGGTTAGAACAGTTTACACCACCCGCAACGGATAGGAATTTAAAAATTTTCACTTAACGTACTTTTCAACATCACTTCTGTACTTTCAAATTAACACTTTTTAAAAATGTATTTGTAAATTTATAACATTTTCACTAGAACGAAAACGACGCAGCAAAACAAAAACACGTCATTTTCGCAGCGCGGCCTACTTCGATCCGACAGACAAATTTAACAATATTTGACTATAATAAAAAAGGTTATCTTCAATTTAATTCCACTGAATTAATTTTGGTATCTATGACAGATACGTATTTTGACTACAGCATGCAGTCTTCATCAGTGTCATTCCCACTAATGAACTTATCAAAATCTAATCCCCTTAAGTACTAATCCACGAGGCAAAAATTCAAAATCACAGGTATAAAAAATAAAACTACACTGTGTAGAATCGGAACCTATCTAACTAATTAAAACCAAAGATTTAAGTAAACTAAAGGAGAAAGTCTATACAACTCTCTAATAAGGAAAATTCCCAAAGGCTTGGCAGCCATCATAATGAAGTAATGAAATTGGGTTGTTAATGGAATGCTTTAAATAAAATAGTAAAAAGCTTATCTTCCATTTAATTCCACTTAATTAATTGAAACTACAATGTATAGAATCGGAACCTACCTAACCAATTAAACTCAAAGATTTAAGTAAACTAAAGGAGAAAAATCTATGCAACTCTCTACACATTGTAGTTCGATTCTACACATTGTAGTTTCATTTTTCATACCTGTGATCTTGACTTTTTACCTATGGGATGAGTACTTAATGGGATTAGATTTTGAAAGTTCTTTAGTGGATAAGATAAGTGGATACCAAAATTAATTAAGTGGAATTAAATGGAAGATAGCCTTTTTTACTTTTTTTATCCAAGAATTTCGCTAACAACCCCAATTTTCCTTATTAGAGAGTTGTATAGTTTTGAAAAAAAAAATCATGAGTTTCTGAATTAATTTTCTCAAAAAGGCACAAGTGAGTGCAAAATGCCATCAATTATTCAAAATATACATCAAATAGACAATAAAGTCTGGAACGCGCAAAAATTGGTCATCTTAAAATTGATGTATTTCTGTTACAAATGCATTAAAAAACCTGCTGCATTTGAAAGTTGAGCGTGTATACAATGGCTGCTATGATGAGTTTTCTCCGTTTGCTATCCAGTTTTCAAAATGACGTCCAAGCAAGAGGAGCAGCAGCAAGAGAATCCGACGTTCTCACACGCCAAGTTGACTAAATTGCTGGATGCGGCCAAATCGGCCGTGACAAACGTTTTAAAAGTTTTCGGGGAGCGTCTGTTGACCGCCAGGAAGCCTGGAAGCGGCGGCAATCGTAATCCGGACATGGGAGTGACGATGAAGAAGGTGGCGCTGAAATATAAACGGAATCCTAACCTCTCCATCCGGGACGTCGAGATTACAAACAAAACACGTCGGCAAAGCAGCGGTCCCGAAAGCTGTATACGAATCTGCTCACAAAGTTCGAATGTGTCGTCATGGACGACGAAACTTAGTAAAAGCGGATTTCAAGCAGCTTCCGGGACAGGAGTTTTATATCGCATCAGGAAAAGGGAAGGTGGCTGAAATTTTCAAAACCATCAAACTATCGAAGTTTCCGAAAAAATATCTCATCTGGCAGGCCATTTGCACGTGTGGTCTAAAAAGCTGAATTTTAATTACTACGGGAACCATCAATCAATAGATCTACGTCCAGGAGTGCCTGAAAAAGCGGCTGCTACCATTCGTAAAGCAACATAATAGACCTATGCTGTTCTGGCCGAACTTTACGAGCTACCACTATGGGAAAAAGGCAATCGAGTGGTACGATGCGAACAACGTGGTTGTGGTACACAAAGACCACAACCATCCCAACAGCCCAGAACTCCGCCCTATCGAACGGTATTGGGCCTGCCCTATCGAACAGTATTGGGCCTTGGTCAAACGGAATCTCAAAAAAAAAAACTCATAAATCCATAGAAAACGAGCAGCAGTTTAAATCTAACTGGCGTTCGGCGGCGAATAGGGTCGATGAGACCACCGTGCGAAATTTAATGGAATGGGATTCAGCGGAAGGCACGGTAGTTCGGATCTGGCAAACCAAAAGAATAAACGAACATTTTTTCCTCTAAATATATGAATTGAACAAGAAAAATAAGAAGATTTTTGTGATATGAATTTTGACTGAAAGAAACGATTTTTTTTCCCGACCAATTTCTGCGCGTTCCAGTCTTTATCTCAGAAGTATTTTTTGTTTGTAAATTAATTTATTTGGGTCAATCGAATAAACTTTTGATATCATTTGCGTTATACATAATTAATCTTAATCTTAAATCTGGAGTTACAGGAATTGCATCAAATACTCGCGGTCGACTCGAGGTTAGTGGAGATTTACAATTTTATCGATGGGGGGAGAGAGAAGGAGATTTGAAATGAGGGGTTTAGAAGGAAAGGGGTGTGAGTGACTTTGATCAAATCTCTGCATCGACATGCTCTTTTGATAGCCACAGCTTTATAAACAGATTTTGTGTTATTTCTGCCACATAGTTTGATAAAGGAGGTTCTCATCTAGCGTCCAGAATGGCACACGAATCAAGGTATGTGTTTGCAGCTAAATTATTAACGAAAGAGAAAGTCGATGAAGAGAATCGATCAAAGTCAGTTACACCCCTTTCCTTCTAACCCCCTCAAATATGAATTACGATACAAATATTTCACTTTTCCTAAAACATGAAATTATTTCTGTTCAACTTGATATCAGCAGTGTTATTACACACCAGAGCAGAGAATGAGAACAAAATGAAAACTAAATTTGATATTTTGATTTAAGCGTTAGTAATAACATATTTTGCCTTTGTTTAGGTAGGTCGAGTTAACAGTAATCATAACAAAAATTAGATCTAAATGATATATGAAGGATATTAAAATGATAAAAAATCATGTTTTCTTGATAACAAATCCATGTATGCCTTTTGAAATTAGTATTATTTTGATATCATGCTTTGAAATCTATTGGTTAATATCAAGATTCAAAATTAAAAAATGTTATCAATAAGTTTTCATCAATTCAAAATAAAAACAAATCTATATTTCCATCAGTTCTATCGATATCTATCAGCTATATCAGATTTTAAATTCAATTCACAGATAGATTAATATTAATAAATGTTTTAAAATCTAACTGTAAAAGTCATAATTGTCTTTGTGATGTTATAAATAAAAAAAAATCAAGCATCCTGATTAACTCATAAGAAAAGAAAAAAAAATAAATTTCAGTCATAAAAGTGGATGCTCTTTTTATAAGATATCAATTTTTGTTTTTAATTACATTATTTAGAAATATCAAAGTAATATCAAATTATGAATTCAACCGAAATTAAACAATATCATTCAAAATATGGTATCAGCAAGATTTCAAAAACATAATTTGATATTATTTTGATAGTATTTTGATATCCAACTTGGCTCGGGCAACTATTACAAATCAACCATTGCTAAAAAAATCACGCAATTAAAAATACAAACTTAACACAAAGTTAATCAAATTTTTAGATTGAAATTTAATTAATTTTTTTTCAAAAAAAAACATATATGATTTTCATAAATTCCAGATCGCGTCTAGCCAAAATATCCCGGACTGGAACATAAGGTTATCTATCTTGATCCCGAAGGGAATCGTATAGCTCAGATCTGATTGTCTTAACGGTATATTGAGGTATATTTGAGCTATTTGAAGACGGCAAACCTCTAACTTGTGAAATAAAAAGCTTGTACAACTGTGCCATTTTTCCGCCAAAATTTGAACTGTGTTTATCCACCAAATTGTAGCCCTAACAAAGCCAAGAAACTTTTCTCAAGATGTCAACTGGATTGGATGCAATCCCAAGCTTTATTTTTTTTTTCCTACCATAGTTTATTCCTCTCCCACTGTTCATTAGACACAACCAGACATGCTTTTTCCTGGGCTTCTCTGGCATTCCAGTCACATACTTAATCAAAGAAGTTAAGATTTACCGAGCTTCCCAGGCACGAGGAAAGAAGGTGTCATCGACCAATGGTTTGTGCAATGCTCACTCAATAAGCCAAGAGATTTTTTTTATTCAGTAAATAATCTTCATTTCCGTACACATTGTTCAAAACCTACTGTCCAGTTATCAAACATTTGTCAAATTCACTGGAAATAATTCTAATGTTATCTAGAACGTCGGCAGTAGTTGCGTTGGCACACGTGCCGAATCGTTTTTGTACGATTTCAGATTCCATCTGCAGCACGACCTGAGTCACGTTCAGCTGAGCGGAGATTTGGGTATTCAACTCATCAAAGGCTGTGGCGTACTGCGGGTTAAAAGAAAATTTAAATTGGTTATAACTACTAACTGGGTTCAAGAACACTTACCACCGCAACGCACGGTCCATTGGGTTTGGAGCAGGTTGAAAGCTGAGCCGCGGTAACTGACGTGAGATCCCTTCGTTGCTGTCGCAGCAGTGGCGTCAGCATGGGGCTCAGGTTGAGCACAGTTGGGGTCTCGGCTGAAAGGCAACTCGACAGACGGCTTACTAGAACCGGAGGCAGTGTCAACTGGACGGAGTACTTGGAAAAGCAGGTACCAGCATACTGGCTGCTAGAACTGATGGTTGCACATGTGATGGCTCGGGTAGCGTTGTAAAGAGCATCAGCGGAAGTTTGCGTTCGACTCAAAAGGTTTTGCAGAACATTCATTTGCAAGTTGAGAAATGTCTCTGAAATTCTCAGCAGGATACTACTGTCCGGGGTGAAAGTGTTACAAGTAGATAACAGATCGTTTATCGGTGTTACTGCCTGTACGATGCTGCTAGTCCACACGTTGATGTTTGCTGTCATTGCTCGGGATGCGTTAGCAATATTCAAATTGTATGTATTTATTTGACTTGTCAGAGCTTGATTTGCTGTGCTTGACGTCACATTTATACTTCTGACCTGGGTCACGATAGTAGACTTATCTCTGATAACGACAGTAAACAAACGAGCAAGACTTTCAACCGCCGAAGTTATAGAGCTTATTGTGGTAGTTAGTTCGGAAACAATGGCAGGTGTCACGAAACTGGATACATTTGCACTGGTCACCGGATTTGTTGAGAACTGTACTTGATCAACAGCGATAGCAAACTTTGAAAAAACCAAAATCAGTTCATAAACATCGTTCAGCAGAGTGGTTATGTTCCCTTGGATTCCGGTGTTGGTCTCCGAATCGACGGTCAATGGAAATGCTTGTGACACAATGGCTGCGCTAACGAGATCCAGCGTAGCCGTCGTAACGTTTCCCAGCAGCCCAGAAAAAAGCACGATCGAGCTAGTGTTGCTGTTCGAAACTGCAGCCTTTGTCACACGGTAAATTCTGGACACACTAGCATTGACACTATTTACAACAACTACGACCGCACCTAAGGTGCCTGTTACATCCGAATCTACGTTCACTTTGATGGATGCATTGGCAGCCAGCAGCGGAATTAACCCGGCTCCAATTGCACTTGAAACACTCGATTGCAGATTAGGTACAGTAACACCCATCCCGAAATCAGCTTTACACGCACCGATACAGACTACCAGAACGATTAATGTTACACCGAACGATCTAGCCATGGCGGATGATTGTGCTCAGCCTGAATACGTTTGTTCTCCAAATCGGACTGAGGTTAAGCGGAGAATGGGTATGCATCTTATAGCGGTCATTCTATGCAGGCCTAAAAGAATGCCAGTGTGGAAAGGGCCATGTCTAGAATCCCGAAACCCGTTTTACATTTCTAGATTTTCGATTTTTGTCAGTTGCATACATTGAAGGAGTTGTAGAATTTGGATGAAGTTGCCACCCAACCATTCGTGTTTGATTGTGGCGTGCTGGCTCTAAATCTTGCTTCGGATTTAAAACCATACCAGAAGTGTATATTATGACCTAACTGTTATTTTCTTCGGATGACTGTCAGATATTAAACAATTTTACTGGTCTAAATCGATTTGTTTAATTTGTTGTATATAATTTAGAATGGCATCGCTAACTGGCATGCTTAGAGAACTGCACATGGAGGATAAAATATTACAAATAAAATTCAAGGAAAGCTTCCGCAGAATTAACGAGCTGCCAAACATTTTCTTAAACTACCTTTAAAATATTGGGACCAATCCTTCAAATTAGGCACAGATGTTCAGGAGGAGTGAGGAGCAGGGGGATTTCAAGTTAATAATTAAACCGATCTTTAGTTTTAATGTAACTGTCAAATAGAAAATATCAATTTATCAGTAAATTATGTTCAGACAGTCTGAAATATTTTCAATTGTAGCAATTGTATCGCCACGCTCTTTGCACCCTTGGGGTTCTGTCAGTTAATTGGAAATTTTATTACAGTTGCATATAATGTGAATGTATCAAGATGTAGTAGTTTCCATATCACGAAAAATCATCAAATTCACCAGGTAAGGGAAAATGCTAGGGCTTACTATAAATCAGAATTAAGTTTATGTTGCGTCTTTAGAAGCTCGAGATAATTTTGATTTAAAAGCTGTTGCGCCTTTAGAAGCTCAAAATTATTTAATTAAGAAGCTGTTGTGTTTTTAGAAGCTCAAAATAATTTTGATAAAGAAGCTGTTGCACCTTAAGAAGCTCAAAATCATTTTGGTTAAGCAGCTGTTGCGCATTTAAGAGCTGATGATCTCTGAAAATATCTGATTACGTAAATACATAACCGTGCGTAACCACCATTACAGGGCTTAAGATTACATAGATCAGAATTAAATTTTTGGTGCGCCTTTACGAGTTAAAAATCATTTTGAATAAGAAGCTTTTGCACTTTTAGAAGCTCAAAATCATTGTAATTAAGAAGCTGTTGCACCTTTCAAATGCTGAGAATCATTGTAATGAAATTGCGTATTTAGTGGATCACTAAAAACTTATCAAAATCTAACTTCCTTATATGTACTCATCCCCTAGGTAAATGTGTCAAAATCACAGGTATAAGAATGAAACTACAAGGTGCAGAATCGGAACCTACCTAACTAACGCAAGAGTTAAGTAAAGTGAAGAAGGAAAATCTAAATAACTGGATGCGTACTTAAGGGGGTTAATGGTAGAATTCTGAACTAATCTGTTCACCATTAAAAAAGCTCTGGTTACTCGAACAAGTTTTTCAACGACAGAAACTTCTAGGTGGTCAGAGAATTTCAACATATAGCACATTTAAGAAGTTTACATTGTGAGTAAATTTTCAACTGACCTGTCCTCAGATAGTAAAGATCTCGAGATAAAGCACATTTTTTCTTTATTCAAGAGACTTTTAGTCGTGGGGTGGTAGGCCCCCTTTTTGAAAATATTTTCTCATGTTCTACGAAACCCATCCCGAGCGAAGTCGGATATCAAAATACTATCAAAATGATATCTAATTTTGTTTTTGAAAACATGCTGATAACATATTTTGATATGCTATTTTTTTTATTTCTGTTGAATTCATATTTTGGTATTATTTTGATATTTCTAAAAAATATAATTAAAACTAAATTTGATATTTTACTTAAAGATAAAGCATCCACATTTATCACTGAAATCTACGTTTGTTTTATTTTTACTTCTTACGAGTCAATCATGATGCTTGCTGTTTTCTTTATTAACATCACAAAGCCAATTATGATTTTTACAGTGTTGTTTTACAACATTTATTGATAGTAATCTATTTGGAATTGAATTTACAAATCTATATAAAATTGATTTCGTCCTGTTCGTCTGTAATACTTATACTAATACATTGTCGAATATATAATATAAGTTAAACAACTTTCGTAGGCTTAGTTAGTTTCTTAGCTCATATTTAAACATGTTGTCATAAATCTCATAACCTATCAGTTCTCTCCCAACAGAATAAATATCGTCATTCATGTCTGTTAAAATATGTTCGATGCGAAGGAATTAATCATTCATAATAATATAAGAGTCATCGTAGACTAATTGTGTACATGATTCGTGTGTCCTCTCTAAATTTAAAAACTTCACATCGTCTATTTCTATGCTATTGGATCTAATAAACTTCAATAGTATTGTTGAGATCAATCAAGCGCTTTGGAATTACCAGTACTGCATATAAATGGTTTGAAAGCTATTTGTCTGACAGAACTCAATGGACTGTTTTTAATGATTCTGTTTCCAGTCCCGTGGGGAATAACCTTGGAGTGCCCCAGGAAATTGTATTAGGGCCCCTGTTATTTATTATGTATATTAATGACTTGCGACATGTTTTACGATTTTGCGACATTAATCTTTTTGCAGATGATACTGTGTTATTCATTGCAGCTAAGGATTTAGATGATGCCGTTTTACACTTGACTGAAGATTTGCGTTCTCTAAGTAGATGGTTGAAGTATAAGCAGTTGAAATTGAATACAAGTAAAACTAAATTTATTGTAATTTCGCGGAATCGAGTAAATGAGAACGTCTCTGTTGTAATTGATGATGAGACTATTGATCGCGTTCATGAGATTAAATATCTTGGCGTGATTATTGATAACAAACTTAAGTTCAACTCTCAAATTGACAATGTCATCAAGAAATTTGCCAAGAAGTATGGAATTCTATGTCGACTAAAAAATGATTAGGCTTTTGCCCTTCCATTTTATTTCTGGCCAATGAAACACAAATATCGAGATTACAGCGCTTGCCGAATAAAATAATGCATTTGATTTTGAGATGTAATAGATTCACTTCCTCAACTTTGATGCTGGACGCCTTACAATGGTTGTCGGTGAAGCAAAGAATTGTATATTTGACTATGGTGTTCATTTTTTAAGTAGTTAACGGTTTGCTGCCTCGATATTTGTGTGATCGAATTGAAAGAGGAAGTGACTTTCATAGATATATATAGTTATTAAACATGAATTCTCAAACTTTACGTTGTGAATAATTTTAATTCGTACACTTTGCTGAAATGTGAATGTTAGGGGAAGCGGGGATAAAATGATGCAAATTTTGACGTTTCCGCTCCACAATGCTCATACGATTCAAAATCGGGTGCTGACTAGCCTCCCAAAATTTGAACTCATTCGATAAGAAACTGTCTTGGCACAAACCATTTGAAGTTTATATGGAAATTACTATGGGAAAACCAAATGTTTTGTTCATATCCATCTAACAATTTACCATACCACTCTGCTTTAAAAAATGATAACTAAGCTCGTAGCAAATTTTCTCAGCTACAACTTTGTGCAAGACCACTTTTCAATATAATCTAAGCATCAAAAGTTATCAATAATTCAAGCCACTTATGTCTTATGATTATGCTCAATCAACTGTTCAGCAGGCAACATTGGTGTTTCTGGCGCTTTGAATAGAGCACATAAATCATGGCTACTATCTCAAACTGCAAGATACAGTGTTGCTCACAAAACAGCTGCTTGATCATGCCATAAGATTATCAATCTCTTAAACAATTAATAACTATTTTATTGAAGCTTGGCTCAACAACTATATTCTGCTAAGTTGTAGCTGAGAAAAAAATTTCCATAGCTTTTGAATTTTTGAACAGTGCAATATGGAAAAAGGTAAGAAGACAATGAACAAAAAGTTTGGATTTCCCATAGTAATTTCCATATAAACTTCAAATGGTTTGTGCCAAGTCAGTTTCTTTTCAAAAGAGTTTAAACGTTGGGAGACTAATCAGGACCCGATTTGGAACGTTTTAAGCACTGTGGAGCGAATATGTCAAAATTTTCATCAGTCTAATGTGCATACGGGGTAAAATTAACAATTGACGATTTTAAGTGCTTTTTCATTCAAATATCAATCAATTCAACGAACAGGTCGTTCATCAAATGAACCTTTTACATTTTAATTCATTTAAATTAATTTAATATTCTCCTCCTAGGAATTATCATTTTTGCCACGGAAAACCTGTTTCTTTTTTGCAATTGTAATAAAAACATTGCTTCGTTGTCAGCAACATTTATTCTTAGAAGATAAAAAAGAGCATTACATATTTCATTGAATTGTACATATGTAAAAGTTTTGACTGGCTTTCAATTTTCAAGAGATTTCGTCATCGCAAATTCTCGAAATCAACGGTGATATCAATTGAAAGGGACAATACTTCAACCTAATCAGCCATATCAGCTTTTGTTTTGGATTGTCGGAGAGGCATTTCCCAAGTAACATTGCAAGTTTTATGGAGGTTTTAAAGCATGCTACAAGTCTAAATCATGGTCTACATAACCCTTATAAAACCGAAATTGTTATTTGGGTTTGGATTCCGGAAAGGGGATCAACGGTGGATGCAATTCGGACAATGGTCGAGAGAGCCGAGAAGGCGCCCAAACAGAAGCAAAGAAGAGATCGATATTGCACCGTGATAACGATCGACGTCAAGAATGCGTTCAACAACGTAGCTGGAAAGCCATTGCCAAAGCGCTGCATATAATGAGGGTCCTTGACTACCTGTGCAGGATTCTAAGGAGCTACTTCCAGAACCTGGTTCTGGCCTACGAGACAGACATGGGACAGAGATCGATTAGGATAACAGCAGGAGGTCCACAAGGCTCCATCCTTGGTCCAACGCACGCCTTTGCCTCGAAGCTCGTGTTGAAATACCTGGGAGTGATGATCGATGACCGGCTAAACTTCACCAGCCACGTCGAATATGCCTGTGAGAATGCTTCGAAGGCCATCAACACAATAGCTAGAATGGAGGTCCAGCCTGGTTTGCAGCACTGGAAACAAAGCAGACCCAAAGGAAACTGAGCAGTACGTTTCGGTTCATGGCCATGCGAGTCGTGAGTGCATACATAACCATCTCATCAGAAGCAGTTTGCGCTATCGCCGGAATGATCCCTATCGGCATCACCCGGCGGAGAACAGCGAGTGCTACAGTCGGAGAGAAGCCGGTAGAGTACGAAAAGTGGTGAAAGCGGAGTCTTTGGCAAAGTGAAAATAGGAGTGGAACACGGTGGACAATCTAGGTGAACATAAAATACGGAGAAGTCAACCACCACCTGACGCAGTTCCTGTCTGGCCACGGCTGCCGCAGGAAATACCTGCATCGGTTCGGACACGCAGCGTAACCCCTCTGTCCGCAGTGTGGCAACGTGGATGAAACGCAGGAACATGTGGTCTTTGACTGTCCAAGGTGCGAGACAGTCGAAGAGAGATGCCTGAATTGTGTCCAGAGGAAGACGCTTGGAATGGAGAGATGAGCAGTGATCTAGCAACATCAGCTAGCACTGAGAGTATGAGAAGTGCATATACCGTAACGAGGGTAGATCACCTTTTCGTGGTACGTTACGGGATGTAAGACCTACCACCCATTCCTAGTTCTGACAATTTCAATGTAGGGGAACAGGATTTTTCAGTAATCAAAGGAACACATCTTAGTCCTTGTTACTTTTTATGCCTTGTTGATAGTGACAAGACTCGGCTTCGTCCGCCGAGGATGATCATGAAACAAAGTAAAAAAGTGTTAGTTAGTCTTCATCTATGTGATTTCTAATTTTCTATTCGTTGTTTCCTAGTTTGAAGTGGTTAAGACTAGGGTTCTGATGCATGGTCATTATCGGTGTCATTCCTTGATTTTGTTGCTATGGAATCCAATTTTGACTGACAAAGGGGTGCGCCTTTGGAGGGTGTTCTAGCACTCCGAAGGGTATAAATAGAAGAACGTTTCAATTAGAATTGATTCCTTGATGAAGGCAGGAATGACAACTGTATCAAAACCGAATACTTCATCATTTCTCAATAGTGATGGAGTAATACAACATGCACTAAACTATTATTACTGGTTGCAATGGTGTTAGGTCACGAACAGAGGAAAAAAAAAAGAAGTGTATGAGCACAGTCCCCTCGAAGTAGTCGTTTCACCGGGACCACGGGGGATCCAGGCAGAGGAGAGAGTAAGGAATGGGTTTTAGTGAAGCTGTACTAGGCAACTAGTGGATACCAACCCGTGCCAACTTCGAAGCAGGTCTGGCTTCCCCCCCCCCTTTTTTTTCTCTGCTTTGAATTTTGATACATATTGCGCATTTCACACCAAATTGGACTAATAAGCGCGTTTGCACTTAGCAAAAAGTGTGATAAAACTGCAAGTTTACGTCTAATCGTCTTGGGACAGTCCAGTTTCAGATGCAATCAGCAATATTTCATTATCGTTTCAAATTGACAACTAGAAATAACCTAGGTTGCTTGGTTATCTATTTGTATGCCTCTTTTCACACCTACTCGATAACAGTCCCGTGGTTTCACAAAATCGCCATTTCAAATTCTGAAAAGTGACAAGTTTCAAAACAATTTTGGTTAAGGGTCACGTGGGGGCGGTCTGGTTTCTTCACCATTTCATTGCATTTTCTTGTACTTTCAATTGCTCAAAGAATGGCCTGCTCGTTTTTGCCCGTTTAGAAGTTATTGGTATTGGAAGTTGGGTAATTTTCAACCAAAAAATGTAAATAACTGTTCAGATATAAATGATAGCAATTTGTTGTCTTCTGAGAAGATATGTAATCCAATATTTCTAACATATTTGTACAACATGCCAAACATGTAGAAATATTGTTGAAAAAGTTACAGATATAAAACTGATTTTATCGATGTCTCCACAAAAAAAAACGTCAATATCTCAGTAGTTATAAGAGCTAGAATGTTATAGTCTTGAACAAAGTTGTTTACAGTAATGTTCTCTACAGCTTTGCGCAATATAATTATTTTGTAACTCATCATATTAAAAAAATAAATTTTGCATCTCACTTTAAGGTGGATTAATCTTTAATTTTCTTTTACCATAGGAAGGAGTGTTGTAATTCGAGCAACTTCTCAGAAGACACGTAGTACCTTTAATCAACCATTTCAGCGTAAATAAAAAAGCGCGTGTTTTGATACCATTGGCACCACTGTGCGGCGGGATGTTATGATTTGAGAACTTTAATGGCAATGGTTATGGTAGTCAGTAATATCCATGAATGCTTTTATAACATCTATCAAGTTTATGTGGAATGTATCGCAAATTGGTTGCCTGTAAGCTAATGATTACCAATTCGTGATATATTCCACGGAAAGTTGACCGATAATACATGGACCTTACTGAATACCATAACCATTACCAGTAAAGTTCTCAAACCATAAGTCAAAAGGTTCTAATATAGTTCTCTCGACCCAAAATTGTCAAAAACGAGTTGGAATTTTAGATAATTTGAAAGACAATGCAGAAAAGAAAGTTGTACGGATTTTGATATAATGGGTGAAAAGAAAGCTATGGACATTCGGATATAAATTTGAGGTATAATAAAACATATAACACAACATTTGACTGATATGTTTGCATACTTCATTTCCTGAAAATTTCTAAAAGACAATTGATTCAACGGTTGATTTGTGTGTGACCCAATTCCATCGTGGACACCCTTTATTTGACATTCAAGATGAAAACGTATATTTCATTGAATTAACATCATAACGCTTCGCGAAATAGTTTAAATCGATTCTTTAGTATTCCAGCAAGAGATTTGTAAATGATGTCATCATAATAATTGCTTGGCTAACATTTTACATGATTAAATTATTTATTTATTTATTTATTTTATGCTTTCGCACTGATGAGATGAAATACATTAGTAGTAGATGTGACCAATTGTTCTATTCACTCACTGTCCCGTGGTCAAGCAGTTAAGGAAGTTTGTCTGAATTGTATGAATATTGTCGTTTATGTCGGCCGTAATCGCGGTGACGCACGTTTCTACTCTGCTCTGTAGGAACTTGAGCTCATTTCCCAGCACTGTATTCAAATTTTTCAACTGAGCTTCAACTTGAACGGCTAGTCCATCGTAGGCGGAAAAGTACTGCGCAAAGAAAACCAAAATTGGAAAGCAGAAGGTAATTAATCCGTTAGGAAAAACATATCATCACCATATTGACTTACCACCGAACTGCACTGTCCATTGGATCTGGTACAGGATAGCATTCTAACGGAACTGATGGCACTGGCATCGGTTTGCAGCTGCAGCATTAGCGGCGCCAACATTGGATCGTAGTTAAGTAACGTGTCCGTTTCCGGCGAAAGACAGCTGGACAGTCTACTTACCTGAACCGGCGGGGCCATCAGCTGGCCAATGTATTTCGCAGTACATGTCGACACGTGCTCGCTCATTGAGGGTGCGTCTGCGTAGATAATGGACTTCGTTGCATTGTACAAGGTAACGGCCACAAGTTGTGTCTGGGTGGTCAACATCTCGAAGACACGGGCTTGTACGGTTTCATAGTTGCTCATTACAGTTTGAGCGTAAGTTTTATTCAATTGCTTCAATGTTTCAATGTAGCTGTTAAGATTGGATACGTCACCGCCATTGAAGGAATCGGAGTTATCAAGGATGGGAGAAAATGATGCGATGATGTTGGAGGTGGCCGATTTTTCGGTTTGCACAGCAATCCTGCAAGATTCAACGGTATTGGACGAGAATGTATTGAACGTGGTTGCCAGTGATCTAACTGCGGTATTTGCCGATGCATTGACTTTAGCTACTTGTGCAGCAGCATTCATCTGGTTGTCAATGACTTTTGTGAACAAATCTGCAATATTGTTCACACAGGTAGTTATGGAGCTAAGGCCGTCTGCAAGTGAAGTCACCATGGCTGGTGTTATAAAGTTTCCAACGTTGGCATTAGTAACGGGTGCCTCTGCTGCTTCGGCTGCTTTGACTCCATTCGAGATGGTCCTGAAGACACTGTTTAGCGTATTCTTATGATATTTCAAATTTGTCATATTGGCAGAGATTGCACTGTTGGTCGTGGAATCTAAATTTTGTACAAACACGTCCATTGCAGAAGCGATACTATTCACATCATTCGCTTCCTGAAGAGCTTTACACAATTTGCCGAACAGTTGAACTCTGGCAGTATTGTCATCGGTGACCACGTCCTGTGTCGCTGTAAAAATTTTCGACACACTCGCATTGACACTGTTGGTAACGGTAACGAGGGCAGCCAGAATTTCAGTTACATCCGCTGCAACATCCACTGTTATAGATCTATTTGCTGCCAGCAACGGATCCACTCCTGAGCCAATTGCTGCTGAGACACTTGTTCTTAGATTGGGTACGGTGGCGTTTAGTCCGAAATCCGCTTGACACGAGCGGATGAAAATTCCCAAAACGACCAGCACACCTCCGAGTGACACCGCCATAACGGGTTTCTATTATTATCTGACTCCGCTTGGTTCTGAAAGCGAACTGAGATCCAGCGAAGAATGAATGTGCATCTTATACCGAGCATTCCAAGGGCCTGGAAAGGGTAATGATAGATAATGCTCACAAATATTGATTCCCTACCCGAAAAACCCGTTCTGTAAGTCTATTTTCGAAACATCGGAAAGGGATATTGAACTTTAGATCTCGCTCGTACCATCTTCTGATTTACCGATTCTTTCCACTGGGCTTTCTCAACTTTTTTTTTTATATAATTCAAAACCACTTTCGTTTCAAAAGGGCTCATGCTCGCGATTACTTCAGTTGCCCGTGGTCAAACAGGTTACAAATTTATTTTGAATAGAGTGGACCACATCCTGCAGGTCACTGGAAACGATATTCACACAGCCAGTAGCGCGGTCCAGAACTTGGGTTTGTTCGATCATTACCTGATCGCTAATTAGGTTGTATTTGACTTCCAGCCGTGAGGAAAAATCCGAAAATGCATTGAAGGCCTACGGGAAGAAATGTACGATAAGATGATGTTATAATTTTCAAAATCTCTTACGTTAAGATTTCCTCAGAAATAGCTGTCCAAAACAATGTTCTTGCCTTTCTAATAGATAAAGGTATACATGCCGCTTGAAAAAGAGCAGTTCCACGCGAAATGACCAATTGGAAGAACTCGTCCTTCTACGATTTGCATGAAACTTTGCATAATTGTTTGCTATGGGAAATGATCAGTGCCGAATTCAGGATCTGGAGTGCTTGGGGCTGCTAATTTTAGGGAGCCCCATTTTATCTGCATGTTAAGTTTGAATTTCAAATACGCGATCGTATTTTTCCTCCTACCATCTTGATATGGTTAAAACATTAATGTTTTTTTTAAATCAGAAGTAAATCAAATTAAGATATGGAATCTACATTTCGTCACACAAAAAAAATAACTACTGAGCAGTTCCACGCCAAATGACGAATTGGAAAAACTCGACCTTCTCCGGTTTGTATAACACTTTGCATACTTGGCAATCATTCACATTTTTATTAAAAAAAATCGGCCTTTCTAATTTGTTCAATAACTTGTAGCACGAAAACATCACTTATGCTTGAAGTGACGTCTGAAACAAAGATGTAGAGTAAAATAAAGTTTTTTTTTTGAAAAAATATTCAAGGTATTTTGTTTTTTAATATTGAGTAAAATTATATGAAAGTGTTAAATACTCAAATATTTCAAAATTAACTTCCTAATGCATTTGGAAAAAGTTACACGTTGTGTATAAGCGGTTCAATGAAGACTCAAACTACAACTCGCTCCCAAAATCTATTCTTGATCCGATTCTGCCTTCCAGAACCGTACTGGTACCGTATGACGGCTCAAAATTTATGATTTTTCCTACGGAAGTAAATAGACATCATGCCATGGACCACCAGGTAGATCTTGCCACATCCGGATACGCAGAACCGGTTCCGGAAGGGCCCAAAAAGGAAACTTCGTAACCATCATGTACAGGTACCGTTCGACGGCCCAAAATTTATGATTTTTCAACCAGAAGAACTGGTATCCGTATGTGGCCAGATCCACCATCCATGGCATGATGTCTATTTACTTTTGGATACAAAATCATAAATTTTGAGTCGACGGTACCAGTACATGAGGTTTAGGAAGTGTCCATTTTGGGGCCCCTCGGAACCGGTTCTGGGTATCCGGATGTAGTCAGATTCACCTGTTGGTCCATGGCATGACGTATACTTACTTACGGATGAAAAATCATAAATTTTGACTCGTCGGACGGTACCAGTACATGAGGTTTAGGAAGTGTCCTTTTCTGGCCCTGCCGAAATCGGTTCTGGGTATCCAGATGTGACCAGATCCGCCTGTCGGTTCATGGCATTATGTCTATTTACTTCTGGATGAAAAATCATAAATGTTGCGCTAATCGGGTCTGGGTATCGGATGTGGCCGGATCCACCTGTTTGTTCGTGATATGGATGTCTGTTTACTTCTGAATGAAAAATCGTAAATTTTGAGCCGTCCAACGTTACCAGTACATGAGGTTTTGGAAGTATCCATTCTAAGAACATTCATCTTTCTTTTGTGGCCAATAGATCAAGAATCGCGCCATTTCGCATTTCGCGCCAAATCGTATTCGGAGCTGGCAGCACCCTCTCAGATTTCAATGAAACTTTCTCGAAGTGTGGACCTTGACTAAATAAGCCACTTTGCATATAATTAGTTTTTCCAAAATTTATCTAGACTAACCTTTAAGAAGGGCCAAACTTTTTGTGCCGATTTTTTTTCAAAAAAATATTATGGAAAAATGACAACTCCTACAAGAATGTGTTGTATGAATGACTTTTAGAAAAATTTCTAAATTATTGGAGAAAAAAAAACTGAAACTTTGCCTCAAGATAGGCAATTATGTTTACTAGCATAGAAACGGCTTTTCTGGTAGAAATGACGTCTGAGACAAAGTTCTAGAGATTTTTTTTTTAAATGCACAAAATATAGTTGTTTCAAAAAAAAATTGTTAGAGTTGAAATAAAGCATTTTCAACTTACATTGCGCAGACATTTAAATTATTTTAGTTAACCTTGAAGTTTTGTGGAGTCTTTACGCTTCGTAGACGAAAAACGAGTATCTGCCAATGCAATGATTGAGATGTGGGAATTGACCACAATAAAATAACTCATTTCTTTTTCTTGAATTGCTCAAGAATCACTATCTTTCACCACTTCAATCGGTCAATCCCTCTAAACAGGCCACTTGGTTGGTTGTTTGGACTAGCAGAAACGCAGGAAATCAACTGAGAACTACACATTTTCTATCACTTACCGTTGCAATACAGGTTCCGTTGGGCACGCTGCACGTGTTGAGCCGCACAGCTGGCAGCCCTACCCATTTCAAAACATCGGAAAAAAAACCCGACACCCCGAATTGGCCAAAATTCGTTAATCTGATAATTTCCGCCTGGAGACATAAATTAAGCCGTGTCAGTGATACACCAGGCTGAAGTAACATGGCACCGTACTTCCTCTCGCATGCCATCGAAAACTCGCTGCTGCTAGTGAATGCCATATCGGTGATGTTCTTGAGACCATTGTACAGAGCAAGTGAAGCATTTGTCGTTTGGTTAGCCAGGACATAGGCAAGGTTCAGTGTGACCGACGCGGTGTTGTTCTCAATGTTGGATAAAGCAACCGCAGCAATTGTGCTGGTGTTGGCCAGGAAGTTGGTCAAACTGGTCACGTTTCCGTTGTTGATGCTGGCAGCTTTCGCCAATATGCCGGCGTATGATTGGTTGATAGATTTTAGGCTATTGACAGATGCACTAGCAACGTTACTTAGAACATCGTAACTAGATCGGTTGAAATTGGTAGTGACTTGAACCAAACTCTTAAGTGAGCTATCGATGGAATCGTTAAGGTTGACTGCACGTTGAATGATGAACTGTTTTTCTTTGCCAATAATCGATATCAACGATCCCAAGGTGGACAGAGTACTGCTGATGTTTTTCAAAGGTGTAGTGTATGTCGAAATCAATGCTGGCGTGATAATCGTTGATACATTCCAACCGGTGTACGGTGGATTGGCCGTGTTTACTTGGTCCAGTACATTTCCGAGGGAACTAAGCACATTAGTCAACGAATTTACTTCCTCGGATAATTGAGTCATATTTCCATTTAGTACAGTATAGTCTTCAGGATCAAGCGCTATTTGAGAGCCACCGATAGTTTTTATTGCATTTCCAATAGCCATCACCGAAGATGTTACAAGACTGTCGATGCTTGCTGTAACCGCAGTGGGATCTCCGCTCTTGTCTGTAGTTGAATTTTCTATCGCCTCTAGTAATGTACCCATCGGATTCACGACATCTGCCACTATAGACCGCAACATTATAATAGTACCACTCGAATCCAAGGTTGCATTCACTGTTATACTCGAATTAGCCGAAATCACCGGTTTTACACCAGATCCGATTGACCTCCGCACGTTACTAGATAGACCCTGAATCGTGATGGTCAAACCGAGATCACCACTCGCGAAACCCACGACCGCCACTAGGGCGCACCCCATCAGGAACCACTTATTCATAGCTTTCCGCGAACAATCGAATCTTCCAATAGCCTTGGGCAAACTATTTGCCAAATATGCTTCCCGGTAGTCTTTATAGCTTTTTTTTATAGTTCGGAGAAAACAAGTTTGAAAAAGAAAGCTTTCATTTGGGAATGCGTTTGTCAAAGAGAAAAAGTTGTCATTAGTGAAATGGAAATGAAGGTATATCTAGGAAGGGAAAGAATAAGATACGAGAAAACGAGCAACGAGCGCACAGTGGGACGAAATCCAAAAAAAAATGGGACATGGTTATTTGCGACGAAACAAGTGAGTGCAGCATTTAGTAGTGAACATTTTTACTTAAGGGAGGTATACACACAGATAAATTTCAAGAAACTTTGTCGAAGACAAACAATTTATTTCTAAAACAGCAAAAAAGGTTATCTTCCATTTAATTCCACTTAATTAATTTTGGTATCCATGACAGATACGTATTTCGACTACAATGTGCAGTCTTCATCAGTGTCATTCCATCATCAGTGGGAATGACACTGATGAAGACTGCACATTGTAGTCGAAATACGTATCTGTCATGGATACCAAAATTAATTAAGTGGAATTAAATGGAAGATAACCTTTTTTGCTGTTTTATTAAAGCATTCCGCTAACAACCCAATTTCATTACTTCAATTTATTTCTCTCAAGTGATCAAAATTATAGGGTGAAAACGGAGTACAAATGGTAGTAGCCCCTTAACCCTTGACCGTATATTAACTAAATTTCAATGGATTTCTGAAAACTAAAATGATTTGAAAAGTAGTAAATTATGAGACTTTTTATGAAGGGGCAGATCTCTTGCGATCCCAACCATTTAGGATGTTGCTTCCTTGTGCACATTCAAAAATTCATATTCAAACATATAAGGTCTTTGAAACTATAGATAGCGTATGACAGATTTGACTCGCTAGATGGGAAAGGATTAAGTTGCGTCGTCTTAAATACACATTATGTAACGCTATCTGCATATCCTGCTTATAAGGATGGTTTCTGTCTTCAGTTGTTCAGTTGTTCGATGGAGAAGACTTATCTTAAGGAACATAGTTTGTTCAGAATTTACTCACCATGGGGCGGTAGTGCGACATTCATTTTGAATTGTTTGCCCTAATCTGACCTCTTGACTAGATAGAAGGTTCCACTCTTCGGAAAATTTGTTCAGATGGACAAGACCTATTTTACGGTAAAGAGTTCAGTTCAGAATTAACTCACCAGGCGGCGCTAATGTGACAATAATTTTTCATTGTTTACCCTAACTTATCATGTTGGCTAGATAGAAAGCTCTCGTCTTCGGCAAAGTTGTTCAAATGGACAAGTCCTATTTCTTTTTTCCTCTGCTCGGGACCTAACACCACTGCGACCAGTAATTTGATCTATTGTAGTATATTCCGTGTCCTTAGTTTAGTGCATGTCGTATTACTCCATCACTATTGAGAAATGATGAAATATTCGATTTTTTTACAGTTGTCATTCTTGCATTTATCGAAAGGATCCGACTATAATTGAAAGGTTCCGCTATTTATACCCTCCAAAGGCGAGCCCCTTTGTCAGTCAAAATTAGATTCCTTAACAACAAAATAAAGGAATGACACCGATAATGACCATGCATCAGAACCCTAGTCTTAATCACTTCAAACTAGGGAACAACGAATAGAAGATTAGGAATCACGTAGATGAAGACTAACTAACTAATTTTTCCTTGTTTCAAGATCATCCTCGGTGGACAAAGCCGAGTCTTGTCACAATCAAAAAGGCATAAAAAGTAACAAGGACTAAGATGTGTTCCTTCGATTACTGAAAAATCCTGTTCCCCTAGTTTGAAATAGTCGGGACTAGGAATCGGTGGCAGATCTTACATCCCGTAACGTACTACGAAAAGGTGATCTACCCATGTATACACAAGTCCTATTTCAGGATATAGACTTCAGTTCAGAATTCACACATCAGATGGCGCTAGTGTGAGATAAATTTTTAATTGTTTTCCCTAACTTATCATATGTACTAGATAGAATGTTCCCGTCTTGGGTAAAGTTGTTCAGATAGACAAGATCTAAAACGTTCAGCTCAGAATGCACTCAACATGTGGCGCTAGTGTTACATTCATTTTTATCTGTTTGCCCTAACTTAACACATGGTCTAGAAAGAAGGTTCCCGTCTTGGGTATAGTTTTGGGATCGGGGACCAACGGCTTTACTTCCCTTCCGAAGGAAGGCGTGATCAGAGATTTTATGCCTCAGAAAATCCCGACGGTGCCGACTGGGATTGAACCCATAGTGGAAAGCGCAAATTTTGCAATACACTAAAATCCGTTTGACAACCCACTATGAGCGCGTTGCGGCAAAACCGGCATTGTACAAAAACGCGTTTTTTCGACATTTTGGTTTTCAATTGTATTTTTTATAATTTTGGGTTAATCAGAACTTCCAGGACGTGAACCAAGTACTCATCCAAGGTCGTAGCAAGTAGTCAGAATCATGCATCCGGAAGTGTTCCGGGGAAGTGGTCAGATTCTTCTTGCACCAACACCCTCATGCGACGCATCAAACTACTTCAGAATTCAACTACTGAAGACCACGTTAGTCAGATCCGGACATGTTCCGGGTACCTCCGGAGAAGTGGCCACATTTTTGTTGAACCTACACCCTCATGCGACACATAAATAAGATCATTGGTGGCCATATTGAGTACTCAGTACCACGTTGGCCAGATCCGGACATGTTCCGGATAGCCCCGGAGAAGTGAAACTTGAATCTACATCCTCATGTGACACATCAAACTACATGAGAATTTAAAAATAAGAACATTGGCTATCATATTAAGTACTCAGGATCACACTGGCCATACATGTTGCGGGTGCTCCCGTGGAGTTTTTTAAATTTCCCTAAATTTTCCTGAGGCCAATGGAACTTCTCTGGAGCTCTCGGAACATCCCTGAAATTATCTTCAGAACTACTCTGAACTTCTCCTCAGAACTACTCTGAAGGTCTCTTCAAAACAATTCTAAAGTTCTCCTCAGAACTACTCGGAATTTCTCCTCAGAACTACTCTGAAGTTCTCCTCAGAACTACTTTGAATTTATCCTCAGAACTACTCTGGAATCCTCCTTAGAACTACTCTTAAGCTCTCCTCAAAATTACTCCCTCAGTTTTCCTAATATTCATAACTCTTCTCCGAAGCTCTGGATATTTCCCCACGGATCAAGGTACTTCTTCAAAATGCTTCCACATTTTTTGAACTTAATGCAAATTCAGAGACGATCACTGAACTTCGGAGGTTTTCAAAGCTCTTGGATATATTTTCAAGAATTCAGATTGATTAATTATTCAGAAGACCTTCTACTGATTTTTCTTCACTATGTCAGCTGAATCAGAGATTATTCAAGTAACAAATAACTCAAAACGGCAATCAAAATAATCCCGTTTACGCGGTTTGTTTACGTACAGCATGCAGCGGAAGAGGAAAAATAAATAGATTTTGTGCGCATCCATTGTGGGCAGGAATGCGGCAAAGCGGCAGCAGTACAGCGGTTAGTGCGATTTTAGTACATTGCGCGTTTGCCGCTGTGCGCTATGCCGCTATGCCACTGTCATTGTGTTCATTCCTTTACCACTACACCACCGGCGCCGCTATATGTTTGGGAAAATGCATGTGAAACAAAACGAGCCTATTAATTTACTTGCCAAAAATTCAAATTTGCAGTCTTCGACAAAGTTGTTTTGCATAGTATTTTCAATCCCAATCAGAGATGTGGTGAAATTTAAGCAATTTTTAGATTTTTGGTAAGCAAAAGAGTAGGATCGTTCCGTTCCCCATACATTGCCCACACAAGATTTAAAATTCTTCTGCAAATCGAAATAAAAACCCAATCCGTTAAAATTTTGTACAGTTTTTGGGGACCGCAATAAACAGGGCGTTGTAATCCCCTGTGAACTGTATATGTAACAGTAGGGCTTATGGCGTCTTTGATATAAGCTGCTAATACTTGCTAACTTGTAAAATACACCCTCTTAAAGATAGTATTGAAAAATTATAAAAACGGACGTAAATTCTTAAAACGAACACATAGCAACTTGCTGCCTTTTGCAAACATGTGTATTTTTAAAGCACTTACAACTTTGTAATACATTAACATCTTAAAAAATTTAAAAATAAAATAAAAGGTTATGGTAAAAAATGCTTTTTGAGGCGATACTACCGTTTGTACTAAATTTTTACTTTATAACTTCGTCCACTTGAGAGATAGAAAATTATCGTCTTCGAAAACGTTTCTTAAAACGGCTTAATCTAGAATGTTTTCATGGATGTGCATCCATTTTAATGAGACATATCAAACATATTTTCTTATCTTGGACTACTCAAATAAAGTACATTCTACAAGACATCACAATGCTACACTCAATAATTTCGTCATAAATTGCAATGTCCCACTTTTTTTTATTTCGTCCCACTGTGCTACCAATCAATCGTGGAGATTAGAGAAAGGTTTAGTTGTTTGCCCATAGATTAACAGAAACTGAGACTCATTTATTATTTGATTACTCTCATGCTTCACTCCTTTGTCTTCTTTGACATACAGAAACCTCTTCATAAAGGGTGATACGGTCAAAATTTGGTCAATATCAATTTGACGTATTTCTTTCAATTTTGCATTTAAAAAACCTGAACACCCCTCATTTTGAAGGTGTGTGTGTGTAGAATGTTGCTCCTATTTTGATTTTGGAATTCACTCTTCAGTTGTCAAAATGCCGTCCAAGCAAGAAGAGCAGCGTATCAAAATTTTGCTCGCGCATCGCGAAAATCCGAGCTACTCGCACACAAAGTTGGCAAAATCGCTAAAAGTTGCCAAATCAACCGTTACAAATGTAATTAAAGTGTTTGGGGAACGTTTGTCGACAGCCAGGAAGTCTGGATCGGGGGGAAATCGAAAACCGGAAGCCACTGAGACGACAAAGAGAGTTGCCGGTAGTTTCAAGCGAAACCCTAAC